CAGTTACACTTCACTTGAGGTTCATTGTCCTTGTAGCTCACCAACACACCGCTCCTAGAGAAAGGAAAGGTACATTATAGATGACCCGACCACTGAGCAGAAGAGGAACCCACTCTCTGCATGCATTTTAGACAACAAGATCCTAAGGATCCTTAAGAAGCCCTCAAGGCTAGAAAGTTATGACAATACTAGATATCTAGATAAACATGTCAAACATGTGGGCAATATGTTAAACTATTACCACATGTCAGAGAGTTGTAAAGTGTAAGATATAGGCGTTAAATCTCAATGAGCCTGCCATGACCTAGTTCAAAACCCTCTTAGATGAGAGTATAGATTTGTGGAAGGAATTATGTGATTTGTTCGCTATTTAATTCATCACTCAAAAGCAACAATCCACCACTATGATCATACTCAGCGGGATCATCCATTAGAAGAAAGAGACCATGCGAGAATGCGAGAGTATATCAACTAAACCACTAAGGTGGTACTGGAAGTAGGAGGTACAAAGACATATTGAAATGATGGATATTCAAAAAAGGAATAAGATCAAATTGCATGTTCTGAGAAAAACTACAGTTGAAGGGAGCTTGTGGTCTAAGTGACCTGATGAATAGGCCTCCACCCTATATCAACTACGAAGAAGAGCTCTTAACTTAAGAGAAGGCTCAGGGGAGAGAAACCTCAAATACGTTCAGGCTCCACAAAAGGATAACAACTATTACAAAGATGATGGAGAGCGATGACCCAATCTAGATTTTCTACATGCAACCCTTTAAACACATAGAAGGAGAAAATATTACAAGAATGTGTGAACACTGAGTCCAAAGAAGCTAGGATTGGGAACTCTTATCCGATTGTCATACAAGAAAGATAATTCAAAGTACTGACGTTTCGACAAAAGTCACGACTATAACACTAATGAATGCATCCACCTAAAGGATGAAATTGAAGAATTGATTTAAAAAACGGCGGCTCATCGGGTACATTCAAGATACAGGTTGAACAGACGAGCGAGGTTGGAAGAAATATCACACGGGATGGGATGAGTCACCAAAAAAGAAATGTTCTTCTCGCCCAGACAAGAATTTCCCCAAGAACTTTTAACTCTTACGACAGCATGTAAGCATAGCTTTTTGAGAAAATTGGACTAAGAAGAAAGAAGTTGTAGTCGTATGAAGGATTTAAACTACATGCTTTTAACGACACGGTAACTTGCCTATGATGGGTATATGAAGCTGATAGTCATCATGGGACAAATACTGGTGTAATTCCTAATAATTCCCTGCAAAAGCACCTACGAGTGCGTCCTATGCAGACCCTTCTTCACAATGTTGGATATGTTGGCCTTTATAATCTACCCCAATGAAAACCACTCTTCTATCCACCATCTCTAAGTCAAGACAAGATTTCTCTTGAGAAATGTGCACCCTGGGATGAAACAATTCCACTTATTGCTAGGTATTTTCAAAAGGATGCATGTTGAATATATAAATTGTCTTTCACCAACTTCACAGACTCTTTGGATATCATAAGTTTTTCTTGACGCATCTCCCAAATATCATGCCCAACTTCCTTTAAACCTTCCTGAGCCTCGCCCAAAGACAACTCCAAATCCTTCACCCTCTTATGGGAAGATTTGAATTCCCGTTTTTCTTGTATGAGAGTGGCCTTAATTGTGGATAACACCAACCAAGAGGATGATAGAGCTTCATCTTTCTACTTCATCTCCTGCACAAGTGATTTCACCATATCTTTCAACAGGTGATGGTATCTGAGATTCTACACTTCAATTCATATATATTTCATCATACCACCTGTCCTACTGAGCTTATTTAGATATTGGTCTCGCTCGATAGTAGAAGCATTAACATGTCCTTGAACACACTTATATTTCCTTCCGAAAAAGATCAGACAAGAAAACATCTCCCATTTTGGTAGCATAAAAGCCTAAAATGATCGACATTCTGCGATTTCGGCACGCTAGTTCAGCCAACTCCTATTTACGAACTTCCTCGTCATTGCTTGAAAATATGAGGAATCCTCCTTAGAAATAGAAGATCGAAACTCCCTAGGTTTCTCTGGAACAGGATGAGAAAGAAGTGAATATGATGGTTTAACCGCGTTTTGCGTTTGACATACACCAGTATTTGGTGTTCTTGAGTTTTGATCGAGCGTTTGATATCGAACAGACAGCCTCTCCCCGTGAAACACCACAACAACATGCCTAGTAATAAGATTCCCTCCAATTACAACCCGTGCCGAGCATAAATCATTTTCTACCACAACTCAATTCGGAGAATCCTAGACTTCTACTTGAACCATGACATAAAGGTTAATTGCAGTCATATCGACAGGGACCCCGTACGCAAGATCCCTCTAGTAGCCTACATGACATCAAAGAGCGCATGTAAAGGGGCAACCATTAGTGTCATATTCATTTGAAGCATTATATTATAGAATTTCATCTTATTTACAGGTCAAATATCAGTTAAGACAAAGCAATAATAATCATCTCAGCATCTCCAAAGAAAAAATGAAGTTTCCCGCATTAGTCACCAAAGATGGCATGCTTATATTCCTTCAAATCAACTTCCACTAACAAGTGTGTGTCTATGAACCGCTTATTTTGTTTCCTTAATGACGCTTCTAAAGGAACAATGTTGTCAACATATCCCAAATCTTTGAAGAATGCTACCAATTTCTTTTTCATATAGGTTTCTTCCTATGATAAGTCATCCAATCTATAAACATAAGACCTAACAACCACCGAGAAATGGCTCTGGCACATGAACTTGAAGAATTTGTTTGAACATTGATAACGAAGATCGAAGTCTATGAATTTTTATCGAAATTTTTTAAAAATCTATGAGTTTTTACCAAATTTTAAAAACGGTGTAAAATCATATTTTTTATACCAAAATTTTCAAATATTCGATATAAAATAATTTATCAAAAAATTTGATAGTGCTAACTTCGTTTTATTACCTATCGAATTTTTTAAAACTCTGAAAAAATTACAAAACATACTAAATTTTTTAAAAAATTTAATAGTGCTAACTTCATTTTTTTTTAAGACCTATTTGATATAATCTATCAGATTATTTAAATCTACTATCAAATTTTTTGAACTTTACTATTTTTTTTAAAATGAAAATTTTGACCAGATGAAGTAAATAATGAGAAGGGAATTTTGTTCAGTACAAAAAATAAAGGGGTGCTAAATATACTAGGAGTTGAGGTGGCAAAATAAATCCTTCCGCTATGTTTATTTTGCCCGTACTTTTTTACTTTTTTACGGACAAAATAAATCTAATCTGCACTTTTTTTTGCGAGATAAGTTAAGAATTTAAATCCACACCCTTAATATATCTGTTTCATTATTGGCGGAACATTTTATTTTCTCTGCACTTTTTCTTTGAGATAGGCTAAAAATTTAAACTACTTATACTTTTTTACGGACAAAAAAAATCTAACCCGCACTCGCACTTTTTTTACGAGATAAGCTAAGAATTTAAACCAACCGCACTTTTTTTACGAGATAAGCTAAGAATTTAAACCCACACCCTTAATATATCTGTTTCATTTTTGACGGAACATTTTATTTTTCCTGCACTTATTTTTTGGGATAGGCTAAAAATTTAAACTACTTGTACTTTTTTACGGACAAAATAAATCTCACCCGCACTTTTTTTTACAAGATAAGATAAGAATTTAAACCCACACCCTCAATATATCTATTTCATTTTTGATGAACATTTTATTTTTCCCGCACTTTTTTTTAGGATAGACTAAGAATTAAAACCCACTATCTAAATATGTCTGTTTCATTTTTGGCGGGTATAATACTGTTTCATTTTTGGCGGGTATAATACTGTTTCAGTTTTGGCGGATTTTGGCAAACGCATTCTGGTTAGTCACTCCTAATTTTAACCCCTATATAGAAAATGTCATCATTTAGTGCAGTCACATAAGTGATACTTACACTAAGAGTGACTACCGTTAAATCCTCCCGACAATTTCGTGCATAAGTGATAATCTCAGAAAATATTAATTCTGTCTCGCTTTATCACAAACCATCCATGCTTTACCACCGCAAGCAACATGGTCCTCTCGTCTGTGTTTGAAAAACCTTGAGTTTATTCATGATGGAAACGTTTTATAACCGACATTAAAATTTTTATTTAAAAGTTTTATGAAAAAAAATTTACACTAAAATATTTCCACTATAAAAATTGTTTTTTAAAAAAACTAAAACAAACGGACCTATATGCATCACATATATTTTGATCTTTTAAATCTAAAATACCAAACTTAAATTTTAAACCATTTAATTTTGATTGGAGAGTTCATATGTGACTAACCTCACAAAACCAACATCAGAAGTAATAACTAGAATACAGCTTTATTTTCATCGTTTGTTCATTTATCAGGATTAAGAACCTCCATTTCTGATTTCCTCCATTACTATAATTTTATGTAAAAATGACAAACATGTGATATTAAATATATTTATTTGAGTTTTCATGCTCATAAAACTATAGGATGGAGCTCTCAATTTCCTAAAAGAAAAAATGGAGAGTATTCCCACTCAATTTATCTATTTATTCCCTTTTGTTAATTTGATTGTATGTTAGAAGTGTATCCCACCACATAATAAAAGTTTTAGTAAAGCAAGCAACAAGAATATATACTAGTTCCACTCAAATCACGTTACATTCGAATCACAACACGTGAAGTGAATAATTATTTTGTTTTTAATTTTTAAAATAAACAAATTATCAAAATTTAGGCAGTTATTGTGAGTGGCATGCATGCCCCTCGATTATACATGTTAATTACCAAAGCACCCTGCCCTTATGTTGGATATTGGGTTGAGAACAAAATGGAAGTAGCAGCAGGAACTACTGCTTGGTAACAAACATAGTATCTGTAATCTGCAATCTTCATCAGAAATGCATGCTTGACAGTTTCTGATAAAGAGTTGGACAAATCTCACCTTATAGCTGTTGATTAAGATAAGCATCCTTGGGAGATTTGGGTGACATAGGAGACCCAACAGCAGTTCCGATATAGTCAGCTACATTTCCAGAAACATTCTTCAACCACGAAGTGCTTCGTGTTAACCAGCCACCCTCTACTTGTTCTTGCATTTCTTGATTGCTCTTTCTTTCTTCCTCTTGCAAGATATCAATCCACCTCTTGGTCATAAAAGTCAATATGGCTTCAACCCCTTGATTTACAATATCCGCTGGTGGCAGTTCAAGAGGATTCTGTTCCAAGTTGAGCTTGGTCAAATTATCAAGGTAACCGAATGTATCGGGAAGTGCGTGAATCTGATTATTGCTGAGATCCAATTCCCTGAGATTAGTCAATTCACCAAATGTCTCTGGAAGTTCTTTAAGATCAGTGAAGTTACTGCTCAAGTTGAGAACTTCCAGATTAGTCAGTCTCCCAATTGCTATTGGAAGCCCATGTAGCTCATTGAAGTGAGCATCCAAATAGCGTAACGACTTCAACTCACAAATGGACGAGGGAAGAGATCGGATTTTGTTCAAATGAATTATGAGTTTCTTCAAGTTCGGTAATTCATATCCAATGTTTGTTGGCAAGTATGACAGATTGTTAAAGCTTGCATCCAGCTCCACCAATGACCTGACCATTAATATAAAATAGTTTGGGTCAAGTGATAACAAATTTGAACAAGTTCCTAATTGACTTGAGCATGTATTGTTTGGCATAAGAAATGAGATAACATGAGCAGAAGCAGATCGTGGAATTGGTAGTGAGATATTTTACAGTGTTTGTACACTAAAATTAGTCTTAAAAGGCATAAAAACACAAATGAAATGATAAAATAAGAAATATGGCTCCAATTTTCACTAGTTTAGCTGTCCACAAGGACGGCTTTCAAAATACTCCTCACATGAGGTGATTCTAAAACAAGTGGATGTCAGTGACCAAAATTATTTCGTACCTGCACTGACAAATGGAATCAGGAAGGGCAATAAGCTTGTTTCCAGAAACATTGAGCAATTTCAACTTTTGTAGCAACCCAATTGAATCAGGCAGTGATTCCAAAAGATTTGCAGAGAGATTAAGCTCCTCCAGATTTTGCAACCCAGCTATTGAGTCAGGAATTGCCTATTGTGTCGCACATAAATATTAGTACATAAGTGGAATTGCAAGAGAGGCCATACCAACTAAGTAATTCAGTAATACATATTATATGATTTTAAAAATATCAATGGAGCACAAGGAGCATAAATATTCAAAATGAAACACATAAAAATCAGTGTATACAAACTTAAAGTGGTTATTACTTATCAATAGAGCAATCTTGATTCTTCAGCAAAACATTTCATAAACTACACAATAACAAAGCACACAAAATACCCATCCTCTCTGCCACTGAAAGTACAAACACCAAGTTTATTCAACCAACATATTAACAAGTTTTCTAGAAGTTTGAAGACACAAACAGAGCCCAACAAGCACACTCAAATTTCAAATCAAGCTCAATTCATGTCAAGGGCATTAACTGATAGTGCGATTAGTCTAACCTGAACGAACCTTTGAGATTTATGACAACAACAAACAAGTCTTATCTCATTAAGTGTGATTGGCTTCATAGATCAAATCTTGCCATACTATTTGATCCAGTACCATTATTCTATCCAAATTTCAAATTGTTAATCTCAAGATCTTTCTTAATAACTTCTCTTATAGTTTTTTTAAATCTTGTTCTTCCTCTAGTTGTTTGACTTATCTCCATCTGACCTACTCTCTTTATCATGAATTTATTGGTCTTCTCACTACATACAAAGCACCTAAGTCAAAGAAATTTGTTCGTGTTTAGTTTTACTAATTTAGTGCCGGATTGCCATTTGCATCTGACTTATGAGAATCTATCTATTATTAAGCAAATGTGAGACTAATGAAACAACTTATTTCCATCCAAGATAGCCTAATAAAGCAACTTATAAATAATATGAAAACACTAAATACTTAACGATCTATCCAAACGTTGTCTAGTAACTTTGGAATCAGTTTCTCCTAACTGCATTCTAAAGAAAGGGAAAAAAAAAGAAGCAGAAAGTGAAAATACTTTACCGAAAGCTGATTAGCAGAAACGTCAAGCACAAGCAAACCAGAAATCCGACCAAAAGCTTCCGGCAAAATCTTCAATGCCCGGCCAGAAAGGTCGATTCTTTCCATTCCTTTTCCAACCGCTTCCTGCAGAATCCCTACCACCTCTTCATTCACCTCATCACCATCACTATCTCCTCCAACATCACCATCTCCAGCAGAACCATACATTCTAACCAACCGCTTCTCAGACTCCCTAAGAAGCTTCTCATAAGCCTCATGCATCTCATCAAGCTGAATAAGCGATTTCCAAATCCGCTTCTCCTTTTCCGCCTCTTCCCTACACTGCTTCTCCTTTTCCGCTTGATGAGCCCGCCATCCCTGGATCTCGATCTCCGGAGGCCTCGGCTGATGTACGATTCCTTCCAGCTGGCGGGATAGCTGGGCTTCAGTTTCCGCGAGCTTGGCCTTCGCGTGGTCGATTTCCTCATGAGTCGGCCGCTCGCCGATTAGGTTAAGGACGGACCGGGCCTGCTGAACGTTGGCGATGGCCCGGCCCATGGATGCGATTAGTTCGGGGTCGGCTAGGTTTGGCATTTTGCCGACGATTTCTGAACTTGGCTGTTCGAGGTCGATTTCGTATAACTCGGTGTCGTGGGGTGTCGCAGTGGTTTTGGATGTTAGGGAAGGGAGACGGGACATGACGTAAGAGAGAATCGGGAAGGTTCCTGGATTGGGATCCATGGCGTTGGAATTTGAGATGAGAGAAAGAGTTAGAGTTTAGGGATTGTGTGATGTGATGTGAAGGGAAGATGGTGATGAATTGGGATATATAGTGAGAAGGTTACTTATTAGAATATTATTAGATACAGTGCACCGTTGAGATTATCGCTCTGCTTTTGTTTGCTTGTTTCGTTTGGATACGATTAGGAGGCTAGCGAGATCATCTTTCTTTCCTCACTTGTCAAATTTAAAGAAGTTATATAACATGATCCCTCAATAATTAATAATTAAAACTGTATAATTATAATGACTAGTAAGGTGGTTAGTGCGTCACTGTTGCACGACTTTCCATTAAAAGAAATAGATGTGTACTAATAATCGTGTACGCAATAAGGTTTTGTGAATGAGTGAGGGTAATTTATTTCAAAAATAAGTTTTTTTTTAATTTATTTTAAATTATTGTTGTTTTTGCAAAATATAATTTGGATTTTTTTAAAAAATTAGTCGGATGGGATCATAATCGTCATATTTGACAGGAGACAAGCTATGTAAGATTAATGGTTATCATTGTTGGTAGTTCAAGATTTCTGCATTTTTTTTTGTGTTATTCATCGTTCAATTGTCTTCTCTATTGTTTGGTCTCAAGGCCTATCTATATGCAAACCTTACTCTCCTCTTTGGATCTTGAAAGGGTGTGTTTCTAATGGGTTTAGTAGTCATTAGTGATATGTAACCGATTATTAATCGTTTTATAACGGTTTCCGACCCTTGATTGTTCCAGAAACGTTACAACAGTTATGACTTGACCCATTCCTTCAGAGCCCGGTTAATTGAGTCCGAGATGAGTATGGAACTCGCTGTTCGGCCTCATAATAATTCTCCCGCCTCATAAAATCTAGAGATATACATCGGCCATATCGAAATTCGGGAAGGATAATTGATCTTAAAATTCTCAGGATGTACATAAGCCCCAAAAGCACAAGCCCTATAAGGGTGAAATATTTTGAGTTTATCACGTGTCACATAAACTTGTCATAATCGTTTTAAAGACTTCACTTAAGTTTGTGGTCTTGAGGATATATCGATTCCCGTTGTATATCAGGAATATTTACGACTTTAAAGAAGTCTGAGAAACTTGATGGTCTTGCAATGTTGAACAATCAAAGAGCCCAAGTGGGATTTCGATCATAAAACCTGGTGGATTTTAGATATGGTGAAGTCAGATGGAGAAGTCAAAGAGCACTTGTGGGATTTCAACTTATCGGCATCGTAGAACTCAGTAAGTTATAGACATGGAGAAATCGGAGAGCCCCATTGGGATCTCGACCTATTGGTATCGTAGAACTCGATAAGTTCTAGAGATGGAGAAGTCGGAGAGCCCCAGTGGGATCTCGACCTATTGACATCATAGAACTTTGATAAGTTATAGACATGGAGAAGTCAGAGAGCTCAGCGGGATCTTGACCTATTGGCATCGTAGAACTTTGATAAGTTATATACATGGAGAAGTCGGAGAGCCCAGTGGGATCTCAACCTATTGGCATCGTAGAACTCGATAAGTTCTAGACATCAAAAAGTTGGTGAGCCCTACTGGAATCTCTGTAACACCCTTCTAAACCCCACGGAAAAAGTATACGAATAATCAGAGTAATATTTCATGCATTCACAAAAGGGCGTCACACATAACTTTTCAAAACATCAAAACACATATCATGCTCATTAACACTTATAATAAATAATCATGCTTCTCACAATATCACTTTGCATGTAGCAGCGGATTCATTTTATAACATAATTCTCTTAACAGAATACTCAGATTCATCACATACTTCAACCTTACTTAGGCACTAAGGCCAACATCATAATATTCCAATGAATACAAAAACATAACATATAGTACATAAAGTATCTCTAAAACATAAACCAACGATCCCAGTGTTACATGACCAGAGCATGACTTGACCCAACATAATTAAATTACTAAACATCTGCACCAATAGCGACTTCACAACTAGAAGCAGCTCTACTCTTGATACCTGCACGATGCCAGATAGAACATCATTCCAGCAGAAGGGTGAGAAATATTATCATAATAATCAATGCATATAATTATATATATCTACAATCATAGCATACACATATTCCACATTCTCACCACATTCATTAAAATTCACATATACATCACAATGTATATACACAAAACTAAGCATGTTCATCATTCATGCTTCTACAATTCACATCATTTACACATACACATTTACAATTATGTTTATTCACCAATCACAAACATAATGATGATAAATGCAACTCATAGAGACCGACTCACGACTCTATGCAGGTGCAGATGCGGTACCGACTCATTCAGCAAGTTCAATTGAAGAACCAAATGGAATCATCGCTCGTTACGGAAGTAACTCCCCGTCGGGCCTACGATGTTCACTCATCGCTCACACCCCACATGGGCACACAATGTTTCAGGATTGCTCACACCTCACACGAGCACACAATCCGATCACTCACACCCCACACGGGCACATGATCTGATCGCTCACACCCCACATGGGCACACGATCTGATTGCTCACACCCCACACGGGCATACAATCATTCAGCAGATTCTACGCGGAATTAATCAGCACAAGAATGTATATTATGATGCTTCACATGCAAAATGACTACATACACTTCTTGAAATGCATACACATTCATAATGCTTTCATATAATTTAATCTCATACAATCATCATAAAGTAAAGATACACACACACACATACACACACACACACACACACAGATATATATATATATATATATATATATATATATATATATATATATATATATATATATATATATATATATATATATATATATATATATATATATATATATATATATATATATATATATATATATATATATATATATATATATATATATATATATATATATATATATATATATATATATATATATATATATATATATATATATATATATATATATATATATATATATATATATATATATATATATATATATATATATATATATATAACACCAAGCATATTTATCATGCATATATTCAAGTTCTCAATTCAACAATTCACACACAAGCATACTTTCATATAACAATGATATTAATGTCATGTGATTCATATAAAACTCATCAATTCTCACCAATCCCTATTTGAGATTATGGGTACATCTCTTATACCCCACCAGGAACAACATCTCAGTTATTCTACCCCGGTGATTATTCCACTAGGAACGACATTTTAGTCATTCTACCCCAGTGTATACGACCATGTCACTATACCTCACTAGGAACAACATCTGTCATTCTACCCCAGTGATTACTCCACTAGGAACAACATCTTGTTATTCTACCCCAGTGATTACGAGCCTTACACATATACATATTTTCAACATCATCATCATATTTACCAAGCAATGCATATATATTCACAATATATTCTCATGCATCCTTCACATACAACCGCATACAATTATTATGCATTTACAATTCAATACCATCACCAAATTTATCAAGCAATGCACACATATTCACAATATATTCTCATGCATCCTTCACATATAATCGCATACAATCAATATGCATTCACAGCAATTATGCCAAACGGCAACCGAACACTCTAATTATTTAAGTCTCATTTACTTAAAATAATTAATCTCGATTAATCGGTAAAGTTGGCTAAAAGTCGTCTAAAATAATATTTCTTTTCACCAAGTTATAGAACATATTATTAGCTTCAGTTTGATATAAAGAACGACAAAATCCGATAAACGGTGAAGAAGTTATGAATTTTCAAAGTTTTGAAAAATAATATTTTCTCACACTTACAGTGTTAACCGGTTAACCCTTTCTGTTAACCGGTTAACACACCCAGATTTTCAAAATCCTGGCATACTAACACTCCGTTAATTGGTTAACAAATATTTTTAACCGGTTAACACTCCAAAAACTCAGTTTTTAAGGCCATTTTTATACCGTTAATCGGTTAACCCAAAGTGTTAACTGGTTAACGCCTGAAATTTTTAGAAAAACAAGGTTACGGGTTCTTGCCCAAAACCTCCAAAAACCCGACCGATTTAATTATTTTCTCCCGATTAAATACCTACTCATCATTACCAATCATATAGTAACAATTTAGGACCATAAAACGCAATTTCTACGACTTCCGATTTTCATCCAAAATCTTAACCGCCAATTGTTCAAAAATGTCAAAACTCACAAATTCAACCAAAAGAAATCCAATAATCACGGCTAAACATTACCCGACTAAACTATGCAATTTATTTCGAGTTTCATCCGCGAAAACATCGGTTTCTATCGATTAAACTCATTTCTGCCCTAAAATGGAAAATGAGCAAAAACTTTCCAACAATCCAAACCAATTCAACAAACACATACATAATCATACACATTGATAGAATAATAAAATTTCACACCCTTACCTTGATTAAATCGAAGCTAGAAGTCGTTCTTGATGATTCCAAGTTTTTCCCCTTTTTCTCCTCTTTTCTCTTCTTCCTCTTTCTTTCCACTCTTCTTTCTCTTATGTTTTCCATTCCCTTTCCTTTCTCTCTACTTTTATTTTATATCTCTTTGTATCATTTTTTCTTCCATCATAATTCTTCTCTCAAAATATTTACCAATTCATTTTCTCATAAAGTATCTCATCTCATCATTAATTAGAGAATATCTAGTAAACCCACATTATTCTACCAAATAGAATAAATCAGTTAAATCCAATAATTCATTTAAATCAAATAAATCACATAAACCAATTAATTAGTACAGTTAATCAATTATTGAAAATTGGATTGTTACAACCCTCCCCCACTTTAGAAATTTCCGTCCTCGAAAATGTTACCTGATTCAAACAACTCTGGATACGACTCTCGCATCCCAATCTCCCAAATTACCTCCACCAAAGGAATCCCTTTACCTCGAAGTTGCTTCTCGTTCATCAACCTGAACGAGTAATGCTTCAACAGT